TCTTATCATTTAACAAATACATGAACACCCCTTAATATTTTGCGAAAAGATCACATACACTGCTTTTAACTTAAATAAATATATGTGATAATATTATTAAATTATTTATGTGTATTTCTATATATGAATACATATAAAATTATTTGGATAATTATATATAAAAAAAATCTTTGAGTTCAAACCTTTTAACAAAATAAATCTTGCGTTTTTAATTTTGTCAAGTCAAATCATTTAATTAATATTATCACATTTTTCAAGTTGAAAGAAATGTTTGTGATCTTTTCAGAAAATATTAATGCCATGTTTGTTTGGGCAGACTGGATTAGCATTCCCATGACTAATAGTCCTAGGACTACGAATTCGTTGGATTATGTATCCTATCTTAACTAATAGTCAAGTTTAAAATAATTAGTTCGTACTTCAATTGTTTAACCAAACATCGGATTAATAATTTTATTGGATTATTAGTCCAATCCCAAACTCATGTCCACCCAAACAAACATGGCCTAAGGGGTATTCATGTATTTTCACTAAATGATAAGGGTGTTTGTGATATAAATTTCAAATGTCTAAGAGGTATCTATGATATATTCAAAATGTTATGGGTGTCCATGTATTCCCATTAAACATTAAGAAATGTTAACATATCATTTTGGGCAAATTACACTAATGGTCCTTATAATTTGGGACTTGTGTTACTTTGATCTTTGACTTTTAAGTTGTGACACATTTTACCTTAAATTTTGAATCTTGTTCCAAATAAGAACAATTGAAGATACCATTGTTCAATTTTAAGGACAAAGTTATCAATTTGATAAAATATAAATTAATTTGACAAAAATAAATATCAAAAAAATATTATTAAATTTTTAAAAATTATTTCTACCCACCAAAAATAAAATTATGCAAAATTGATAAATCTTTTACATATTTATTTAATTTTTTTACCAAATTAATTTTTATTATATATTTGGATAATGATCATGTAATGGGTGGTTATTTTTGTTTTCATTAAAGTAGTTTCTATTTTTCCAAAAGTCAAATATGGCGATAACTTTGATATCATTATTAGACCAATCCATTAAATCAAAAAATTCAAAACTAAAAACATTTCATATATTAAATATATTGGTTATACATTAAAAATCTAGCAACCACCCATTACATGATCATCATACAAATATATAATAAAAATTAATTTGGTAAAATAAATAAATAAATAAATACGTAAAAGATTTTTCAATTTTACATAATTTTATTTTTGGTGTGTAAAAATAATTTTTAAAAATTTAAAAATATTTTTTTCGACAATTATTATGGTCAAATTAGTTTATATTATATCAAATTGACGAATTTGTCCTCGAAATTGAGCAATGGTCTTCAATTGTTTTTATTTGGAGTAAGATTCAAAATTTAGGGTCAAATGTGTCCCAATTGAAAAGTCAAGGACCAAAGTGATACGAGTCCCAAACTATAGGAATTGTTAGTGTAATTCGCCCTATCATTTTCAAATCACAGATGATGATTCTGTTGGAAATGGTTTGGAAAAATCTGGGTTTATAACTGATTTTTTCTTAACTTTGGTCTATTATTTAAATGGGACCCGTGTGTTGTTTTTCGCGGGTCAAAGTGATAATGCGTTCTATGCTGCGTTGTGATTCACGTGGTATATTTGGTTGCTCAAAACCATTACCGAGTGAATGGGAAATTGAAGTTAAAGTATGCTCCATGGAAATGGAGTTTTGGTAAAAAAATCCTTAAAGGTTTGAATAAGGCTTGTCCCATATTAATTTGGTGGGAAGTTTTGAATGGGTTTATAAGGCATGGGATTGGAACTTGGGGTGTGCCCCAAGGGGTACCCAAGTGTTTTGGAGAGGGAGGTTATGGGCTAGACCCATTGGACCAAAAAATCACCACACACGCGCGCCGCCGTCCGTCCGGGCCTGCTGGGCGCGGGTGTGTGGTTGGGTTGGGCTTGTTCGGCCCAACACCTATCTTTTTGGACAAAAAATATTTGAATTTAATTTTATTTTATTTTTTGATAAAATAAAATCCAGAATTCAAATTAATTCCGAAAAATAGGGCCCTTGAATTTTGAACCCAACAGATTCAAATCTGTTTAAATTCAAAACCAAACGGGTTTCATACCTGTTCAAACACGTTTGCACCTGTTTAATTCAAAACCTGCAGGCACCACTACATCTATAAATAGGATAGCTCTCATTTGATGTAAAACAGATTCAGAAAATTCGTACTTCACATCTGCAAATTTATTTTTCATTTTGCTGCATTTAATTTTTGTGAGAAAGAGTATAAACACTTAGTGTGTTCGTTAGGCAAATAATTTGTAGTGCTGCTATTGTTTGTAGTTGATCATTTCATCCTGGGAGATAGACGTCCACATTCTGAAAGCACCGTGGAGAGGACGAATCTGTCTTAAGGACACAGAGTTAAACACTGGACTTGATCAGATATTTATTAGAAGAAATTAATCAAGTAAGTTGTTTAATTTATTATTCTGTGTTATTTGTTTATTAAATCATATTTTAATTTTATTTTTGTAACAAAATAAAATCTGTTTTTATTTATTTATTTCTAGTTTGATTTTTGTAATCAAACAAATTCGCTCATTTCTTTTATTTCTTTATATTCTTGTTGTTGTTTAGTACACAATAGAATTTAATCTATTTAAATACAGTAAAGATTGTCCAACAGATTCATATTTTAAACAAATCTCATAGGATATATTTATAATTTATCCTAAATTAAAAGATTACATTATTTTAATAGGGAAAAAAATTAAAAAAATTTATTTTTTTAAAATGCAAGCAGTATAGATTGAAAAGATAATTTTTTTTTTTTTTTAAAAAAAAGGAAAAGGCATTGTGGCATAACATAATTGAAAAAATATATATATATTATTCAAGAAATAGGCACAGTAAGAAGTTGAGAACAGAATTTGAAAAAAGGAAAAAAGAAAAAAAAAAAAAAGAATAAATTGAAACGATATGGCATGTTTGATTGGAAGGATTAAAGTATAGGATTGGGATTATTAATCCGTGGGCCCAATCATTTTATGTTTGTTTTGACATTTTAGTTTAGGATTATTAATCCAATGGATAATTAATCCAACAAATTTGTAGGATTTTTAGTAATGGGGTAGGGGTGGGATAACTAATACCACACTAATTTAATAGGATTATTAATACATCACTATTAGTATTGTGAATCAAACATGGCCTATAGGTAGCACAACTAGGAAAATCACAACAGTGACCCCTATCCAAAAATAAATACTTACAAACAACTCCTTATAATGAGAGAGAAATATAAACACTACAAGTACCAAGTTTTATAAAATGGTATTATACAACTATTAAGTCAAATGGCTATTAAATACCCTACTTGATACATCAACATTAATAGCAAACAAAAAGTCCAAATTAATCCACGCACGCACAATTTGAATTAAATGACAAAGCACAATCCGTGCAAATTGTGAAAACGCAATATTGAATTGTGTGAGTGAGTCCATAAATTTGAGTTTTTGTTTGCAATTAATGTTGATATTTCGCAATACAATTTAAAAACAGTCAATTTATAAATATTTGATCTTCTTATATCAGGACAAGTCAACTTCAAGAAATAACCAATATAGAGAGGTACATATATTGACAATTAACCTTGAATTAATTCGGTATACACGATGATGCATGAATGACACCTTCTCATTAAAATTGAAAGTCAAATAATTAAATTAATTAAAATCTATATATATCTATACAGATATCTCTGTCTCTCAATGTCATCCACAGGATTAAAGTTGTCTCCCTCAGTTTTGCACAGTTAATCCCCGAAAGTTTGGGACATGATAATTACTGTGAGTTGTTAGCTAACTAATTTTAAACCATGAACCCACCATCATTGGCCCCACTCTTGTCTACAAAATGTCTTTTCAGGACAACCCTTCTTTGTTTATTTTTTGTTTTGCCTAAAGAAATATCAGCACATTGGATCGTCTAACACCACCTCCAACCCAATCTACTGACCAAGTTCATAGAATCAAATATGTATTGGGACATACCAAATACTACTTGTTTATAATTTGAAAACTTGTTTATAATTAGCATACAAAATTTTCAGAAATTTTCTAGAAACACCCAATTTAAGAAAAATAATTTAACTTCTTTTTTTTTTTTTTTTATCGGGTCGACCATTTGTCTAAGTTTAGCCAAACGTTTAGAGAAATTCCTCTAAATTTAGTTTGAGTGACTTTAGTCTAAATTAACTTGCTCAAGTCCGAACACAAGTTTGTCTTTGTTAAGTAATCCCAATTATCTTTGGTTGAGGATTAAGGATTGTTCTGGAAAGATGGTTAAACGTTTGGCTTTTTTTGACTTTTTTTTTTTATTTTTTTAAACGTATAAAAAATATGAGAGATGATCTAACTCAAAATGAATTAAAAGTTAAGAAGTGACTACTAACTCACTTTCCAAGAGAGTCCTAAGTCAGCCTAAACCAATATATTATACTTTAAAAAATATATACTCCATATATATATGGGAAAATTGTCGAGTCCTATTTTAGCTATTAAATTTTCAGACATTATCTTTCAAATAAATGGAAAAGGTTGGAAAACAGCGTTGCCATATCATTTTATATTCGTACGGAAACAAATTTCTAAGAAATGTTATTATTATAATATAATATTGCCAATGTTTTCTACTTTTATTCCTAGAACAGCCATGCAAGCAAAGAGCAAACAAATAGTAACCAAGTTTCATTGTAAAATTATGGGTGGAAAGAGGGACAGAGTTTTCAATCTTCCGACAACTAAAATTTAACTTGTATTCTTATTTGCTTTCAAGCTGTATATACATAAAGTCAAATAAAATAAAAAGACAACTTAACACTGAACTGTCACCAAAAAAAAAAAAAAAAAAAAAAAAAACTACCAAACAAGCTTAGACATAAAAGACAGGACATTTGAAGGAGGGGGGGGGGCTAAAGGTTTGAAGATTTTGGAATCCCTAAACATGTTTTTATTTTTTATTTTTTTTTTATTTTAACACTTACAAATTAACATACTATTTAGGAGGACAACAAACTTAGCGTGCGCCTAGGGCGCACGTTAACGATAAGCGGATTTCTCATCTCACAGGACAACTTCAATACCTCTGACAAGTCAACGACACTTTGATCTGACGATCGTAATTCGAACTCTTGTAAAATTAAGGCCACCCAAAAAGTAACTGTGGTCAAGCCCAAGGTCTTACCCGGACAAGTTCGCCTACCCGATCCAAACGGAGCGAGCCTAAGATCCGATCCAAGCACTGAGAAATTAGAATCTGATGTATTAACAAACCTGTCGGGTTTAAATACAAGTGGATCTGACCAGACTTCAGGGTCTCGCATGATGGCCCACATGTCCACCATTGCAGTGGTCCCCATGGGGACATGATGGCCATCAATGGTGGTGTCTGTGATCGCTAGACGAGACCATGACAAGAGTGGGCCTGGCGGGTGTAGCCTAAGCACCTCCTTCACGACCGCAGGTAAGTATTCCATCTCGGTTATATCAGTCTCCGTAACAACACGTGATTGTCCTACTACCTTGTCTAGCTCGTCATGGACGCTTGATTGAACATCAGGATGGAGTACTATCCTTGCTAATATCCACTCGATTAGAACTGCCACTGTATCTGTTCCCCTAAAAATCATTTCCTGTAAGATAAAAATTCAAAACATTAAAAACAAACCATCACTTTTTTTATTTTATTTTATTTTAATATTTAGCACTTAAATTAATGCAAATCGTTCCACGTGTATGGATAGTATACCTACTAATTAAAAGTTTTGCAGTAAATCTGTTAGATATAACAGTCATACATTAAAGTAAATAAATAAGATTAGTAAAGATTAACTTTTGGTAATTACTCTTGACAATTTCAAATCGAGTGGTGTTATATGCATCAATTAGTATATTAATTAATGTACCAACACTAATTATGATCTTATGATCGATCCGACTCATTATACAAATTATGAATATGAAAAACATCTTAAATTATGTCACATCATCAATTAATATGGTAGTTAATACATTAATTGGTACATATAGTATTACCCATTTCAACCAGATTAGACTTCAATCCATGCCAACTCCAATCTTTACTTTTTAATAGTATAAGGCTTTGTTTTTAATAACTTTTTTGATTTTTTAATTAAAATATGAGATAAAAAAATAATATGTTTAGAATGATTTTTTTTTTATATATACAAAAAGATATGAAAAAAGTAGAGAAAAAATAAAATCTTTAACTTTTTAATATATATTATAGATTTTTTGATTTTTTAATAATTTTTAATTTTACATTAAAACTGTTACATGCTAAACGAGACCTAAATAAATGAAAACAAATTTATTCACGTATATGAACAAAACAGACTATATAATTAGTAAAAAATATGAGTTATTTCTATCAAAGTGTTACTATTGATTCTACCCACCACTCTCTCAAATTAAATTTAAAAAAAAAAAAAAAAGTATATTTTGATAATTAAAAAAAAAAGAAAAAAAAAAGAGAGAGAATGTATATGATTGATAACATATATGTTCGCTGGCTTACCCAAAGGACGGCGATCATGTCGGAGTCGGATAGTTTGTCGGGTCCTTGAAGAGATAGCAAAACATCGACGAAGTCACGGTTTAGCTGGCCGGGTTTTTCCTTGTGCTCTCGGATGATCCGGCTGACAAACCGGTTAACTTTGGGTACAAGTTTGGAGCACCTGAACCGAACTTTTTGCGGGTCGAAGTCTGCTAACCAAGGAAGATGATCCGACCAATTGACCGTACCCAGAAGTTCATACCCTTCATCAACAAGCTCCCTCAGCTCCTCGGTTTCCGGGTTGGTTGACCCGAGTCCGTATTGGCGTCCGAAAACAGAGCACATCATGTTGTTAAGAGAGGCTCGCTTGAGTGCGTTGCGAACACTGATATCTCCGGTGCTTCCACGGAACATTGCCACCATCTGATCGGCGATCTCGAACCTTTGTGATTCTGTGGCTTTGATTTGCTTCGGACAGAAGAGATGATTGGCGGCTATTCGGCGAAGAGTTCGCCAGTAAACGCCGTAGGGAGCGAACCCAATTGCTCTGTCGAACATGAGACTGTAAGCCGACTCTTTCACAGGACGGTCTGCAAACACCGAGCTGTTCAGAATCTCTCTCGCCACCTCCGGATTGCATGTTACAATAACTCGTGTATCGCCGAGGCTGAAAGCCATAAGACGTTTCGCATGGCAAGCCTCGGCGATAGCTGAAATCCGGCGGTGCGCGAGGCCTGACATGAGGTTCATGCTGCCAATCACTGGGACACCTTTCGGTCCCGGGATTGGCTTAGTCATGAATCTCATATTGAGGCCTTTTTTGAACCTGTACTTGCCCCAAGCTGGACCACCTGGGTAAGCCCAGTAAATCAAGCTCAGGACTACCCAAACCAAAGCAGTGAACAAGAGAGTAGACCATATTGAGTTGAGAGAAGTGAAAGCTTTGCATTTTGAAGCTAGAGCGAAGATCCAGAGGCTTTCTATATCTGTTCTCATGGTGGGTTTATGAGATTGTGAGCTCACTCACTCTCACAAGCAGAGAAGAACACTCAAGCTGGCTACTGCTTTTGAAGAAAAAATGTAGGGGGTTTGGTTGGTTTATATAAGAAGGAAATATGTGAGAGAAAATTTAAATGAAAAAAATAAATAAATAAATAAATAAATAACCGTTATACCAGGAGGTAGGACCGTATAACTGAAAATTTATTTATTATAGACAACAGTGTTTCTCTCCATCAATCCTTCGACTCATGATTCGAGTTTACGGTTTGAGTTTCACTATAATACAACAATTACATCCTCATAACTATAGATATTTTCATTTCTAAAGAGTAAATATACATACAACACATGATTCTTCATAAATTTTTTAATAAAGAAATTATGTTTTTATATCATTATTTTTTATAGATAATGTCTTACATATTGAAAAATTGTTAAGTATGCGAAGATGTGATACATTTAACCAATTACTAATATTTATGCCTTGCCTTCACCTTGTGTCCTTGTCACCAACGCATAAATGTTTAGAATTCACTTTCTAAACTATTGAGGAGTACCTGAGAGGGTAATTTGTGTAGCTAAATTGGGCCGAGTTAGGTTGGAGTGGCGGTCAAAGATGTTTATAGGACCTAGCTACGGAACCTAGCTACAGAACCAAGCTGTTGGACTTAGCTACAAGACCTAGCTACGAGACCGAGCTACAAGACCTAGCTACGGGACCAAGTTATTGGACCTAGCTATGCGGCCTAGCCACGGGACCTAACTACGGGACTTAGCTACTTCCTAGGGGCGGTCAACACTATGGCCAAGCTACCAAGCAAGGTAGTCAAACGGAGAGAAGAGCCGAAGTAACTTGGTTGACCACAATGTTAGCCGAGGTAAAGATATCAGCCGAGGTAAAGGGTCAGCCGAGGTAAACGTGTTAGCTGCAGTAATGAAGAAGCTTGGGAGATGGGCCACGGTCAAGTGTTAGCTCGGTCCAAAGTAAGGCTCTTGCCGCCAGACTAAGTTAGTTCGGTCACGCCATTCGGAGCTGAGACACGGCAACTTCGCACGGTAAGCCTAGCTTTGGTTAACTCGGTCCAAGCTTGCTACGGTTAGCTCGGTCTCAATAGGTGAAACCGGGGTACAAGCTGTGAAGAGAGAGCCGAGCTAACTAGAGTTTGGTCGTTTTGGCCCGATTTGCATGGCTATGTTATCCCGGTCGTTTTGCCATACTACCGGTTTGAAACCATCCCACTTGGTTTAAGCAGTGAGGAGGGTGTTGAAGAATAAGCATTATCTTTCAGGAGTATGACTCCTAGGAGAACTCTACATGGTGGAGTAAGAGCCCTACTAGGATTGTGCTACGCGAAACCTATAAAAGCTCACAACATCACATATGGAGAGGTAACACAACTTTGATTCCTGAACATACAGAGCTTTTTGTCTATTTGTCTATTTTGCTGACTTAGGCATCGGAGAGGTATCCGGCACACACCCGCCGGCTAGCTCACGTTTGTATTTTCAGGGAGTAAAGCGACGTCATACGGAGGAGTGTAGACTTGATCAACAGGATTATACGAGAAGGTTTATTTCTTTCCCGTACAATTGGCGCCGTCTGTGAGAAACATCAGACAAGAACAAAACCTCTTGATCTAGTTAAACTTGCTAATCAAAAGTAATGGCGCACAATGAAGATTTGCCACAGTCCGCCATCAATGGACAAACCCCAGAGGGGGGTGGAAGGCGCGAAGGTTTACCCACCATCCCTCCCATGGCGGATTTGGAGCCACAGCGATAGAACCCCCGGAGGGATGCAAGGGAGAGGAGGCGGACTAACAGCCCCCGCCGTTCTTGCTCACCAAGTCCTGACAGACAAAGGCGGAGGATCGACCCTCAAGCTCTGGAGGATCGTGTCAAGGAGTAGGACGAGTTGATACGAAGGATGGCAGCGGACATGGAATCAATGAAGCGCCAGATGAAAGGAAAAGAGGTGGCGACAGGAGAGGGGCGCAAAAGCAAGACGCTCCCTCGCCACTCGGAAGATCATGGTAAGCATACCACGCCAGCGCAAGTAGAGAGTAGGAGCCTTAGAACAGGCGATACCCAAACAAGGACTTCCAGGACTCGTTACTCCAGGTCTGAGAGAACGAGAACTGAGAGGTTATATACTGGGGGAAGCACCTATCGGCCCTCGCGCACGCACCAGACGGCATCCAGGCAGACGGAGTTGCCCAGGTCATCTGACTTGCAGATTGTGCTTGAGGAAAAGGCGCGATGGAAGGAGGATACCAGGGCGCGCAGAGTCTCAACCCTTCAGCGGTTGGCTCCTCGGACGCATGGAAGCGTCGAGGTAGGAATGCCAATACCGCGTCCTGCTTACGAACCAACAGACAAAGCGTTAGCGAGGCTGTAGACCTCACCGTTCATTCCAGCAATTGAGAACGCGCCCCTACCTTCTGGCTTCCTTCAGCCCAAATTCACCACTTATGAAGGGAAGACGGACCCCTACTCACACTTGAGCCACTTTCGCCAGGTTATGGCTGTATACCGGCGAAACAAAGCTTTAATGTGCATCCTATTCCCATCTAGCCTTGGCGACCTAGGTTTAACCTGGTTCAACAGACAAAGCGTTAGCGAGGCTGTAGACCTCACCGTTCATTCCAGCAATTGAGAACGCGCCCCTACCTTCTGGCTTCCTTCAGCCCAAATTCACCACTTATGAAGGGAAGACGGACCCCTACTCACACTTGAGCCACTTTCGCCAGGTTATGGCTGTATACTGGCGAAACGAAGCTTTAATGTGCATCCTATTCCCATCTAGCCTTGGCGACCTAGGTTTAACCTGGTTTGAAAGGCTACTAGAATACAGTATCGCCTCCTGGGCACAGTTGGCAGAGGCGTTCGTAACAAGGTTCAGAACAAATACCAAAACGCCTGTGGAGATCGACCAGCTTCTCTCCATTGACATGGGTGACAAGGAGACGATAAGATCCTACAACAGTCGCTACTAGGAGACCTTCAACCAGATTGGGGATTGCCCCACCAATCTCGCTATCGCACAATACAAAAGAAGTCTTCTAGTCGGAAACAGGTTGAGGGACTCAATCACCATGACGCCACCCCATACGATGGAAGCCTTGATGGAGAGAGTACACCAACATATTCGCGTGGAGGAAGATGGCAACCGCGCTAAAGCAAAATCTGGCACAACCGCAATACCAGATAAAAAGACTACGGTAAAAGTCAACGCGGTGGAACGTCCAAGCAAAAAACGGGCGAGGCAGGCGGGACAACGGAGCGGACCAAGACAAAAGAAGGTTGAGAGTCTACACTGCCATTACCACGGTGTTCAAAAAACCGATCTATCGGATTCTCAACGAGATTCACAATGAACCTTTCGTCCGATGGCCTGCTAAACTGGGAGAAACGCAAAGAGACTATGACGAGAGGTCGTGGTGCACCTTCCATGATGAAAAAGGGCACCACACTGAAAATTGCACACCATTAAGGCAGCACTTGAAGGAGTTAGTAGCAGCTGGGCACCTGGACCAATACATAGAAAAAGGGACACAGCCAACCCCCTAGAACCACAACAACCTAAACGGGATGCCGGTCGACGCTCCACCTCAAGGCGTAATAAACGTAATACATGGAGTATTCGAACCTGAGCGAGTATGTGAGCTCAGGGGGATGATCAAAAAGGCTGAGCACTTAAGGGAGGTACTAAGTGCACAACCTACCATAAAAAAGGGGAGAACAGAACCCACAAATGTCATATCTTTTTCGGACAAAGACTTAGCAAGGATATACTGCCCTCACAATGATGCACTGGTCGTCACTCTACGCGTCAAGAATTTCGACATCAAACGGATTTTAATCGACCATAGAAGCTCATGTGAGATAATGTATTACGAAACCTTCAAACAATTGAAATTAGAGGACAAAGACTTGGCACCTGCAACATCTCCCCTAATCGGATTTAACTCAATGCCAGAGTGGCCAATGGGTAAGATAATCCTCCCAGTCAAGGCAGGAACCATGACAAAACAAGTGGAATTCTGGGTATTGAAAGTCCCTTCCTCTTACAACATAATATTGGGAAGGACATGGTTGCACGCCATGCGATCGGTAGCTTCAACCTACCATCAAGTATTGCGGTTCCCCAACGAAGCCGGGGTAGTTAAAGAGGTCTTTGGAGACCAAATTATGTCCAAACAATGCTTCGTCACAGCAAATGGCAACCGCGCTGCCAAAGGATATGTACAGCTGGTGGAAGAACTCGAGAGCAAGAAGCTGTTCACAGATATTGGTAAGGCAGCTGAATAAAAGGCAATTTAAGATTGGAGATTGGGTGCTGCGCAAAGTAATGAGAAACACTTTGGCACCCAGAAATGGCAAGACTAGGGCCCAAATGGGAAGGACCATACGAAGTGGTTGATTAGCAGGAAAAGGGGCATACCACTTGGAAGATGGAGATAGCAAGGTCATCCCCAGGCCGTGGAACACTGCCAATCTCAAGTTATTTTATTTTTAGCTTTCCTATAGAGTACTTGTAATTTTTCTTTTCCTCAATAAAACAAGTAGTTTCCTTTTCAGCATAGATTGTTTTCTTTTGTAAAAGTTGTTTTAGCGAGTTAGGGGCATTAAAAGCAGAGTTGGCAGGTTTGACCAACAAGTCTTTGCCCGACTTGGGAGGCAATCAAGAAGTTTGGTAGGAATAACCAAACGCTTAGCTCTATGTTGGCTGGAATAACCAATATTTCGCTCTCCTAAGCCGAGATAAGGATATCTAGGCTGCAGGAAGTTGGCAGGTTTGACCAACAAGTCTTTGCCCGACTTGGGGGGCAATCAAGAAGTTTGGCAGGAATAACCAAACGCTTAGCTCTATGTTGGCCGAAATAACCAATATTTAGCTCTCCTAAGCCGAGATAAGAATATCTAGGCTGCAAGAAGTTGACAGGTTTGACCAACAAGTCTTTGCCCAACTGGGGGGCAATGAAAAAGTTTGGCTGGAATAACCAAATACTTCACTCAGGGTTGGCCGGAATAGCCAACTTTGAGCTCTTTTCAGCCGAGATCAGAATCTAGGCTGAAAAGGT